TGCAGCTGAGGTTGATATACCGTAAAACAAACCAAACCAAAATGTTGCGCTTAACCAAAGTATTGGGGGTTAGTTGGGATTTGGTCCTCATTCTGACCACATTCCCAAATTTGAATATACAGTGTAACCCGGATATAAGGGACCCGGATATAAGAGAGATTTTCTCTGGTCCCAAATTAGAGCCTGTGTTAATGTATATAAAATAGACCAAACCCGGATATGAGAGAAACCCGGATATAAGAGATTTCTTCTCCGGTCCCGCCAACTCTCTTATATCCGGGTTACATTGTACCTTTCACCATAGCGAGTCATTCAGTCTTACATTTTCGTACGCCAATCACGAAAGCAATTTATGTTCCCATTGAAATTCTAAACTAATACTCCATATTTACAAATTATATTTACAATTGCATCTACAATTTTATTTACAAAGAAGTGGTGAGGCGGTAATAAATGCGGTGACTTTTCTTTAATTTTTTTTTTTTTAAATACAAAAATAAAAAAAGCAAAGCAACTAAATAAAACAAATAAATAAGCCCCCACCCCCGGTCCAGAGAAATAAACACAAAAAACAAGAAAACGAAAACATTAAGAAAAAAAAACAAACAAGAAAAAACAAAAAAAAAAAACAACAAAAAAGAAGAAATAAAAAACAACAAAAAAGAAAAACAAGATAAAAGTAAAAAAGAAAAGACAAATAAGTAAAGAAAAAAATTAAAAATAGAAATAAAAACAAAAAACAACAAAAAAGAAATTAAAAAAACAATATTTGTGTGATAAATATAGCAACAAAGATGAGGACGAGAGTCCGAACAATGTATATAGTGTATATAATACCTCATCTCATCGGAATTTTTTTTTTTTTTTTGTAGGTCCCCGGGGGTATTTTGGTGTATGAGGGATTGAGGGGTGATTAATAAGTTCTTTTGGTGAATGAGTAAATTGTAATTAATGAATGGATCGTGAGTCGGATTTAAAAACAAGATAAAAGAAAACAAAAAGAAAAGACAAATAAGAAAAGAAAAAAAGAAAAAATAAAAGAAATAAAAACGAAAAAAAAAGGAAAAATAAAAACCAACAAAATATCAAGAAAAGAAAAAAGAAGTAACCCCCCCCCAAAAAAAAATTGATTTGATATGACAAATTTATAAGGAAAAAATGAGTTAGTAATATGACCCTCCAGTATTTTTTATTTTATTAAAATTTGACAAAAATGTAAATATTTGTATATGATCAACGAGAACCCGCCAATTAAATTCTCACCTTAGTAGTAGATTTATTCTTTGTAATACAGTGTAACCCGGATATAAGAGACCCGGATATAAGAGAAACCCGGATATAAGAGAGATTTTCTCTGGTCCCAAATTAGAGCCTGTGTTAATGTATATAAAATATACCAAACCCGGATATAAGAGACTTCTTCTCTGGTCCAGACAACTCTCTTATATCCGGGTTACACTGTAGTACTAAAAATTATGGCACAAGGCCGAAGGGTAAATAAGGAAAGGCTGGTCCTCAGTCACTATCCTAGTCCTAGTTAATGACAATAATGACCCATTCATTGAATACAATATAATATGGTCAATCAATACAAGAACTTGTCCATCACCTTTCAATCCTACACGTACCACAATACCACATATTCATAAGGGCCATGTAAAAACCCTATGATGTAAAAACTTGTTGAAGTTCATAATAATATATATATATATATATATATATATATATATATATATATATATATATATATTGATGTTTAAAAATGATGGGGAACGAAATGAACCCAAAAAACGAAAAAATACAAGAAAATGTTTTAACTAAATCAAAACATGTGTTAGTAGGACTAAAATAATGAAAGTAGCACTTTAGTAGCAGAATACTTATGTAAAAATACAAAATTTTGGCACAAGACAGAAGGGGAAATGGGGTGAGATAGTCTTCATTAGTCAATCAGACTCACAACCCATTCATTACAATTTGTTCATTAGCCACAAGAACATATCCATCACCTCTCAATCGTGCATATACCACAATACCGCATATTCACAGGGGACGTAAAAAACACCCCATGACATAGAAGTCCAAAATATATAAAAATTTCATGAAACATGAAAAAAACAAAACAAAAAATGGATACATGGCATAGTGGATAAAGGATAGTTAGATCCAGTGACAGGATCCAAATAGTGTGAGTTCAATATCTTGTTAAGGCAGTGGAGAACTTGGAGAGGGGGAATTAACAGGAGATAACTGACATCCATTAGACATGGCATGTGGAATTAGAACAGTCTACCCCAGCGAGCGAAATAAAGAGTTCATTTCGACATTCCAACCACCTGAAGAAGGCCGGGGCATACAACGGCCGAAACATTGTGATAAATATAGCAACAAAGATGAGGACGAGAGTCCGAACAATATATATAGTGTATATAATACCTCATATAGAGATATAGAAATATAGACAGATACAGATTTTTTTATCTCATCGGATTTTATTTTATTTTATTTTTTTTTTTTGTAGGTCCCCTGGGGTATTTTGGATTGAGGGGTGATTAATAAGTTCTTTTGGTGAATGAGTAAATTGTAATGAATGAATGTGTTGTGAGTCGGATTTAACTAGGATTAAGATAGTTAGTAAAGACCAGCCCCCTTCCTTTTCCTCCCCTCGGCCTTGTGCCACAATTTTGTAATTTTACAAAATAAATATTCTATCCTAGACAATCAGACTTACAACCCATTCATTCATTACAATTTTCTCGTTCACCACAATAACTCAGCCATCACCTCTCAATCCTACACATACCATAATACCACATATTCACAGGGAACGTACAAAACATGCCTTGAAAATTTGATAAAAGTTCAAAATATATAAAAAATATTCATGAATTATGAAATGATGGTGTGGGGATGAACCCAGAAAACAAACTAAAAATATAACACAAAGATAAAAAACCAAAAAAAAAGTCTTAGTAGGATCGTCCACCCCTTCAAAATAATTAGTATATTTATTCTGTAACATACAGAATTGTGACACATTGCAATATGGGGAAGGGGGTCTGGACTTCATTTACTATACTAGCTCTAGTTAATCAGATTCGCGACTCTTTCATTCATTACAATTCACTCATTCACCAAAAGAATTTGTCCATCACCTCTCGATGCACCAAAATACCGCATATCCCCCAGGGGTGGGAGGCTACAAAAATAACCCCATGAGATAAAAAAAATCTGATGAGCGTCCAAAATATCCATTTTTTTTTTTTTTTACACTTTTTTTTTTTTTTTTTTTTGACAAAAATATGTAAAAATATCAAGATTCATGTAATGATAGAGAAGGGAAATAAACCGAAAATAAACTTAATGTAACAAAAAATAAAACAAATGTTAGGATCCGTCCACCCCTTCAAAATAATGAGAGTGGCCCCTTAGTAGCAGGGCTGATATTAGTAAGATGGATATACACATATTTTGTAAAAAAAATACAAAAATTGTGGCACAAGGCCGAAGGAGAGTTGAGGAAAAGGCTGGTCATTCACTAGCTATCCTATTCTTAGTTAACCACTAATCATGACCCATTCATTCATTACAATTACACATTCACCACAAGAACTCATCCATCACCTCTCAATCCTGCACACATTACATATTCACAAGGGTCCGACAAAACGCCCGATAAATTAAAAATTTGTAATGTAAGTATATATATGTATTTATATAAAAATTTCAGGAAACATGAAATGATGAGGAAGGAAGATGAACCCAGACAAGTAACTCAAAATGTCAACCAAAGATAAAACGAAAACAAAACGATGTTAGTAGGAACCGTTCGCCCGTCAAAATAATCAGTGGCCACTGTAATCTGTCGATAGATATTTTATTTATTACTGTATATACAATAATTGTGACACATGGCCGCAAAGGGCAAAAGGGGAGAGTCTGGTCTTCACTAAGTATCCTATTCCTAGTTAATCAAGTTCATGACCCATTCATCCAATAAAATTGCTCCATTTACCACAAGAACTCATTCCTTGCCATTCAATCCTACATCTACCAGAATACCGCATACTCACTGGGGACACCGACAAAAACACACCATGATATATAAATTTCAAATTCCTAAATACAAAAATATATAAAAATTTCATGAAGCATGAAATGAGGGGGATGAACCCCGAAAACAAACTAAAATTAGAACTAAATAAACTAAAACAAAACAGATGTTAATAAGACCCGCCCACCCGTCAACATAATCAGAGTAACCGCTGTATTCTGTCGATAGACAGAATCAAGAAGCACACTCACTAATAGAATGGGGAGGGTAGAAATAAATGACGGGATATATTTATTTTGTAAAAAATACAAAATTGTGGCACAAGGCCGAAGGGAGAGTTGAGGGAAGGCTGATCATTCACTAGCTATCCTATTCCTAGTTAACCACTAATCATGACCCATTCATTCATTACAATTATGCATTCACCACAAGAACTCATCCATCACCTCTCAATCTTGCACACACCACAATACCACATATTCACAAGGGTCCTACAAAACACCCTATGGTGTATTCATAGCTCTGAATTTACATTGGGCTCTCAGGATTTCATCCTACTTGGGACTACCCATACGGATTACCAAGTTTTTCGTAACTTTATATATATATATATATATATATATAAATTTCATGAAACATGAAATGATGGGAGGGGGAATTGAACCCCGACAAGTAATTCAAAATGTCAACCAAAGACAAAACGAAAACAAAACAAATGTTAGTAGGACCCGTCCACCCCTCAAAATAATGAGATCGGCCCCTTAGTAGCAGAGCTGATATTAGTAAGATGGATATACACATATTTATTAAAAACTGTAGGTGGAGAATAACCAAAGTAATAGGTTTTTTGGTATCCGGTCTCAGATAACGGAAGAGAAATTTCTGTTAAAGCAAACCTAAAATCTACCCGATTTTTGTGGGGGGAGGTAAAAATAGGAAACGTAAAATGTGTTCCTCTTCAAAATATTACCTCATTGTCCTTAATGTTTTCTTTCTCATCTTATCTTTCGTGTTTATAACTATTGGCGTTATCATTCAGACTACTTTGGCCGCAAATTACACCTTCTTAAGCGAACATCTCGCTCCACCGGCGGCTGTAATGCTCACCTTCGGACTCCTAGTCTTTTCCGTCTCACTTCTCGGTCTCTTCAGTGTCTCCTGCCGAAGCCACTATCTATTGTGGATCTACATCTGCTTCCTAGTCATTCTGATCGTCGTCGAATTCTTTCAGGTGATCTCCGGTTTGATAGCCAAGTCGCACGTGTTGAGATTAATTGTAGACTCCCTGCGCGCTGCACAGTTCAAATATACGAGGGACTATCTTGCCAGTTTCACTTGGGATTCTATCCAGCGGGACTTCAAGTGCTGTGGTGTTTCCAACGTCCAGGAATGGTCTCCTCATTTGCACAACTCGTCTCTTCCGGACTCCTGTTGCACGGTCTACATTATCGACTGCGGTAAAACTGCACTCGAAACTGGGAACTTTTATCAAAGCGGCTGCATCGGTGCCATTTCCCAATGGATTGACCGACATCAAATCATAATTGGGGTATCTGTGTGTATCATAATTATTCTTCAGCTTTTGTCCCTCGCATGTTCAAGGGGTTACCTACAAGTTCTTCAATGTTATGGCTCCGCTAAAGGCTGAGAATTTTTTTTTTTTTTTTTTTTTTTTTTTTTAAGCATGGCCTTCATATCCAAGACTTCCTTATTCTTAAAGAATTGTCTTATTGGCTGGCTTGAAATCTGTTTCTATCCAAAGACTTTGTTAGCCCCCTTGAGACTATGGATGTAACTAAATTCTTAAAATAACTAACGGATAATTAAACTTAATATAGTCATCGCTTGAAAGTTTGTTGTTTTCCTTTCTTTTTCTTTTTTTTCGCGGGGGTAAAGAAAAGTGAATTATTTTCGTCTTGAAAATTTTTAAGATAAAATTCTATTAAATGGCGAAATGACTCTTGGACTCTGTTACAAGAATGTTTACTCCCCGAACTTTATTGCTTAATTTCTTTCTTGAACGGTGTATTAACAGAAAAGTGAGCCATTTTCGGCGTCAAGCCAGTCTTTGCTTACTAAAATGAAACTCCGGTAATTAAAGTGAAAGGACACTTGAACTCTGCTGCTGAAATTGCCATGACCTGAACTGTTACTCAAATCTTATACAGGGCCAGAACATCAAAATAAACTCCCTTGACTTCATTTTGAAATAGAAATAATTAATCCACCCCCGCAGCTGCACAACTAAAACGTCTGGACTTTACGTACATAATATATCGTTCTTTTCCTAAACTCTGCTTGTAAACTTCATAAAAAAAAAAAAAAACTCCTTCCCGCCATGGACAACCGTTAAACATGTACAGCTTCCTACTAAAAGCTGTATAAAAAAAAAAAAATAATTGTGGAATAATTATTAGTTGATATTTTTTTTTGTTACCCCCCACCTTCACATACACACACCTGATGTCTCGAAACTTTATTTGCCAAAGAGTGTCAACTTATGCTTTCACCCTCTTCACACCCTCTGTCACTAGGTTACGAAAACTTTAAATAAATTATCAATATTATGTAAGGCTCTAGTCTTTATATAAAATCCCCGAATTCCGGGTAAAAATTTAAATTTTCATCCTTAAATAAAATATTCAAGTTATAGATCTCAAACTTCTTTACCAAAATTTGTATACCATTTCGAATGAGTTAAGACCTAAATCTAAATTTCTTTTTGTTTTTCAATCTAAGCTTTTGTCACATCTGTCTTAAGACCTGTCTTAGTGACTACCGAATCTAATTCAATTACGCATCAATTACACGTTGATTTACTGTTACCTTAGATGAGTCCTGAAAGCTGAATGTACAGCATCTGAAACATAGATTATGGTAGTCACAAAGACTTAACTCTCTGAATCTAATTCTCGACTATGAAATTTTGGCAATTAATTATTAGTATTACTAATATTACTCATCGCTCTTATAATTAAAGAAAACTTATTTCATTACCTTGCTAAAATAAAACTGACTTTAATTTTTTTTATGTTACCAGTAACATGTTTGCTAAATTTTCTCTGTAAAACGCTGGTTAAATTCTATAGAATCTATACCAATTTATTTTGGTTTCAGGCCATCATTCAATGTTAACATTAAAGCAATTAGAATATCTTATTTCGGTCGATGCCGTGAACCATATAAAACCACTTTAAGAAGTTTACAACAATTTTCTTCAGGGTCCTGGGTAAGACGATAAACTACGTCCAACAGCAAGATATCCGATCAGGAGGTTTTGAGGAGCATGGAACAACTTCTTAATTGCTGGTGTTCCCAGGTTTACCCTGACCAAGGGTGGCAACACCTGTTCGGCTCCCAAATATGGGTAAATAGTTAACGCCCCAAACTGGGGTCAAAACACTATGAATGCGTAAGAAAAAAAGTTTTAATACCAGCAATATATTTTTGAAGAAAATACATATTACAAGGAATACATTTTTGAAGGAAAAATATTACCAGCAATAAAAATCTTGTCGGCATTAAGTAACCCATTGAGGTTGATATGCCGTAAACCAAACCAAACCAAACCTTATTCTTCATCTCCAGACAATCGCCTGCGAAGAGATAATCACAATGGAAGCCGAAGAAAATAACTAATTAAACAACCTGGACGGCTTTGGGAAATATGGTATGCTATTTCGAATGATCTAAGACATAAATCTCCATCCCTCTGCAATATTACAGCTTTCCACATATCAAGGGCTTGACATCTGTAACACTGTGAGTGGAGAATAAAGAATAATTTAAGTCTAAGTATTATGAAAAAAAGAACGAAAAATGAAAAGATGCGTACACGTTTTTGGAATTATACCATCTTTCTGAAATAAAATATATTTCATAGTATCAGTTGGCGATCACAAGTCCATCGAAATAAAAAACCGATGTGGCGGGCTCGTTTCATTGGTTCTTGAATTGACTAATCAAAAACTAGCAAGGTTATTTAATGAGGGTTTAATGTGTATGACCTCTTCGAGAAAGCAACAGTGGAGGACATAATATTTCTTAAAACAGTGGGCTTATAACAAAAAATATAAACCCCCAAAACTGTCAATAAAACCAATTACTCTACAAACTGTATATCTAAAAAAAAATGCACCAATGAAACCAGATTCTCGACAAAAAAAACCTCTTTACAAAAATATGTCAATGAAATCTGGTGTAGAAAATGATTTATTACAAAGAATACATATTCTATTCATACGAATCTATTCTAAAGATCTTGTCGGCATTAAATAACCCAATGTGGTTGATATGCCATAAAACAAAATAAACCACAACTTCAATGAGGGTTTTGGCTTGGTAGCAAAATGGTAGTAAGGAAGTTCTCTCACTGAGTGTACCCTCTCCGTCACTGACGAGTAGTCGGCAACATTTCCATGCTTGTGACAATACAATTTGCCGATACATATCCCATTGCGTTGTGACACTTATCCTCACAAGAAAAACTTTCATCTTTCAGTAAGAAAGCTAGACCATGTGACTTTGGGGTATCTGCGAAACAACGACCTATGTTCGAGGCATATAGACCACAGAGCTACCTTAAATTGTCTACCAACTGTAACTGAATTACACATTTATTATACAGAGACTTGCTAACTTGTCGGAATTTGTATTAACAAAGTTTAGGGTACAACCGTCTAAATATTGATAATGAAACCCAGCTGAAAACTCCTCTTTTTCTATGTACTGTGTCTCTTCAGAATGTAGGCGATCATGGCTCTCCACTATTTTTTCTCCCTTGTAGTCCCTAATAAATTTTCCATTTTTTAATCTCTTTTAAAATTTGCCATTCATTTACTCAAGGTAGGTCATGCGTTGTTTTCCTCTGACCCTTTTGCATTCAATTTGTTCTGTGAGTATCAGATTTTCCAAGCCCTCTTTCCTCATTATGTGCGCTATAAATTTAAACTCTCTTTCTGATATTAAGTAAAATTGTCCATTTTGTTTACATTTTCTCTAAAATGTCGTCGTTGTCCACGTGTTCCGTTCATGGTATTCTCATAATCCTTCTGTAGAACCACATTTCTGTTGCTTCAAGACTAATCTTCATATGTGACGAGATTAATCAGCATTCAACACTCTGTAGGGGGTGATATTGCGTAACAGTTCAGTACGGTTCTGTTCTGTTTCTAAGGAATTTTTTCCTGTTTCTTGATACTGTGCTTAGCATTTGGAAAGCATCTTAAATCAGCTATCAGGGTCAAAAATTCAGACAGCTGTATATTCGTTAGTGTGATTAATATGAGGGTGTGGCCAAATGGTAAGAACGTTTGCTTTCTGACAATGAAACCATGGTTATAATCTCACTGTGACTGTTTTGATTAGAATGTTTCTATTCTTTTGTGTGACATGGGTAATCATGGCTCTCCACAATTTTCTGTCCTTTGCAGCTCTTAGTAAATTTTTTTCACTCTCTCCTCACTGTTCTGCTCAACACGAACACAAGCTCGTTATGTAGGTTATGCATTGCTTTCCTTAGACCCTCTTGCTTCCCATATGTCACATGGGTCGCTGGTCCAAGTTGGTCTTAGCTGGTCATAGTTTGTTCAAGCTGGTCATAGCTTGTCTAAGCTAGTCATAGCTGGACTTGGCTTATCATAGATGGTCCAAGATGGTCAGAGCCGGTCTAAGCTAGTCGTAGCCGTGATACCACCAGCACAGGGACGGAGCTTTACTTAATCCCCCCCCTGAGTCAGGTTGTGACACAAGGTCAGTTTTTAACTTGGGGATCCGAGTGTTTTCAATCGGACCGCTGGTCTTAGCTGGTCATAATTTGTCCAAGCTGGTCATAGCTTGTCTAAGCTAGTCATAGCTGTACTTGGCTTACCATAGCTGGTCCAAGCTGGTCATAGCTGGTCTTGGCTTGTCATAGCTGGTCCAAGCTAGACAGAGCCGGTCCAAGCTAGTCGTAGTCGTGATACCACCAGCACAGGGACGGAGCCTTGTGCCAGGTAAGTATCAGCATGTGTATACCACTCGAGAGAGCGGTTTACACACTCAAGGGATTTTCTAAGCACAGCTTAGATGTGGCACAAGCCCGAAAGCATGGGGCATCCAGTAAGGATTGAACTCACTACTCAGTCATAATTGATCTAGCCAGACAAGCTGTTTAGCCATTATACCACGTCGAGGTGCCCACCCCAATTCTATAGTTATTTACCCGTTGCCCCACGCAGCAAGATGTGGCACAAGGCCGAGTTTAAAGTGAAGTAACCGAGCCCGTAGGTTCGGGTAAAAGTTCCCTACAGACCACGTAAAAACGGAGTCAGTTACCCGAGACGAGACTCTGGCCCCTCGGCAGAGCCTCGTCTGGGGGATACCCTCTGACATAAGCCAGGTAAGTATAGGTATTTACTTGACTCCCACAAGGTCAAGATGTGACACAAGGTCGATTAACGTGGGAAACCCGAGTGTTTCCACTCAAAGACCACTGGTCAAAATTGGTCATAGCATGTCCAAGCTAGTCAGAGCCTAGTCAAAGCTGGTCATGACTTGTCCTAGCAAGTCCAGGCCGGAGCCAGTTCAAACTAGTCGAAGCCTTGATCGAATCTCAGCCATAAAAGAAACGAAAGGATGTCAAAACCCCAGCATAACGCCAGGTAAGTA